ACGCATAGTGATAAAGTAAAGCAATTACATGGCGTTTGCATTTCATACAATAAAAAGACAACAATAAGGCTCCTGCCAGTTGGCAGTAACTTTTATCTCATACAATAACGTATATCACATCATGTCTTGACCATATCACATCACAACATGCCCTGCAAAAACAAGTTAAATGTCCTCTACTTCGTTGTTGCAAGTTTTACGTGGCTGCTATGGGCTTCTAGCAAGAACCGTTCTTACATACGCATCAAAACCACAATGATGATTTATCAAGTTTGTTGTTTTAACCTTCAACAAGGACCGGCCGTAGTCAAATTTGATTCAACTAAAGTTGTAGAAACAGACACCCGCCAGCCACCTTTATGCAAAACTTAGTTGCATGTTTGTCGGTGCAATCGGTCTTATGAACGTGGTCATGCAAAGTTGGTCCGGGCCGCTTCATCCAACAATTTTGCCGAATCAAAATAAGACATTGATGGTAAGCAGTATGATGATCAACACCCACAACTCTTTGTGTTCTACTTGTGCATATCATCTACGCATAGACCTGGCTCGGATGCCACTATTAGGGAACGTAGCATGTAATTTCAAAAAAATCCCTACGCTCACGCAAGATCTATCTAGGAGATGCATAGCAATGAGAGGGGGAGAGTGTGTCCATGTTCCCTCGTAGACCGAAAGCGGAAGCGTTTGACAACACGGTTAATGTAGTCGAACTTCTTCTCGTTCCGACCGATCAAGCACCGAACGTATGGTACCTCCGAATTCTGCACACATCCCTCAAACTCTTGATCCAACAAAGTGTCAAGGAAGTAGATGAGTTCTGTCAGCACGACAGTGTGGTGACGGTGATGGTGAAGTGATCCGTGCAGGGCTTCGCCTAAGCACTACGAAGATATGACCGGAGGCGTAAACTGTGGAGGGGGGCGCCGCACATGGCTAACAATTATTGGTGTATGCTAGGCGCCCCCCTCCTAATATATATATAGGTGGGAGGGAGGGAGGAGCAGCCATAGGAGGCTCCCAAGTAGGAGGAATCCTACTTGGAGTCCCTCCCAAGCCGAGCGCGCCCCCTGCCATATATAATCGAGGGGGAGGAAAGAGGGGGGAGAGGGAAGAAAGTAGGGATCCTAATCCACACTTTCCTTGCCCTCCCCTCTTTCCCTCTCCTCCTCATAGGGCTGGCCTCTGTAGGGGCGCACCAGGGCTGGTGTGTTCCCTCACTTGGCCCATAAGGCCCATATCTTTGTCGGGGGTGCCCGAAACTCCATTCCGGTGACCCGATAAGTACCCGGTACCCTCCGGGACACTTATGGTGTCCAAATACCATCGTCCTATATATCAATCTTTACCTCTCGACCATTTCGAGACTTATTGTCATGTACGTGATCTCATTCGGGACTCCGAACAACATTCGTTCACCTAATCACATAACTCATATAATAATATATCATCAACGAACGTTAAGCGTGCTGACCCTACGGGTTCGAGAACTATGAAGACATAACCGAGACACATCTACGGTCAATAACCAATAGCGGAACCTGGATGCTCATATTGGCTCCTACATATTCTACGAAGATCTTTATCGGTCGAACCGTTATGACAACATACGTATGTTACTTGCCCGAGATTCGATCATCGGTATCTTCATACCTAGTTCAATATCTTTACTGGCAAGTCTCTTTACTCGTTCCATTATACATCACCTCGTGACTAACTCCTTAGTCGTTTGCTTGCAATCTTATGATGTGTATTATCGAGAGGGCCCAGAAATACCTCTCCAATGCTCGAAGTGACAAATCCTAATCTCGATCTATGCCAACTCAACAAACACCTTCGAAGATACCTGTAGAGCATCTTTATGATCACCCAGTTACGTTGTGACGTTTGATAGCACACAAGGTATTCCTTCGATATCCGGGAGTTGCATAATCTCATAGTCGAAGGAATATGTATTTGACATGAAGAAAGCAATAGCAATAAAACTAAAAGATCAACATGCTAAGCTAACGGATGGGTCTTGTCCATCACATCATTCTCCTAATGATGTGATCTCATTCATCAAATGACAACACATGTCTATGGTTAGGAAACTTAACCATCTTTGATTAACGAGCTAGTCTAGTAGAGGCTTACTAGGGACACGGTGTTTTGTCTATGTATCCACACATGTATCAAGTTTGCGGTTAATACAATTCTAGCATGAATAATAAACATTTATCATGATATAAGATAATATGAAATAACAACTTTATTATTGCCTCTAGGGCATATTTCCTTCAGAAGCAGGGGGAGCGCCAAGCCTCGCGGTAGAGGCGTGAAGCGGCCGGCGGCGCGGGGCCGCAACCCGGCGGGGAACCAACCTCGGTCGCCAAAAATCTCGAAGCCGGACGCGGCTTCGACGGGAGATTTGCAGCTGTCGCCGACCATAGCGTCCTCATCCGGCCACGGTGCTCCTCATCCACCTCCTCTACCGCCGCCACCGGCCATGAAGAAAGATGTGTCCATGCCGATGGCAAGCGCATCCAACATGTTCGATGATATGTCGCAAAGGTAAAAAATATCTTGTGCAATTATCTATTGTTCCAATTGTCGATTCCAATAGAATGTGTAGTTGATTCTGTGTACGTCCATTTGTAGTCTCGATGATGAAGCTTTCATGCACGCCACAAATGTGACAAATGATGATTATTCACATGAGTGTGCATCACAAGAATATGAAACGTCACAATATGGTGATGAAAATCTTGACATGGATGATGAGGGCTTTGTTTTGAAGGGAAGAACTGCAAATTATACCGGCACCGAAGATGTGTTGATTTGCATCGCTTGAAAGAAAGTCTCTTAAGATGCAACCATTGGGATCGACCAATCCGTCGTCACATATTGGCAACACATCAAGGATTTCTTGGATGCGCATAACACTAGCGGCCACTATCGCTCAAGTGACTCCCTTCGTCAACGTTGGGGCGCCATCAATGCCGAATGTGAAAAGTGGGAGGATTGCTTGGCAAATGTTGATCGCATGAACCCAAGTGGTTGCGGTGAAGGTGACTTGGTCATAATCATTTGCTATTCATGTGTGCTTTCTCTACTTTCCGCAAATATTGAAATGTTCACTAATTTGAAGATGATATCTTGATTGTTTTCTTGTAGAAAATGATTGCGCAAGGATTATTTAGAGAGAGGAACGACCATGGAGAGAAGAGGAAGAAGAAAGGAGAAGTTTTCACTTTCCATCATTGCTTCAAAGAGCTCAAGGATGAGGAGAAGTGCAAACTAGAGAAGTTTTTGATGCTTCGAAGAAGAAAAGTGTGGTGGTGGAGGATGAAGAAGATGGCCCGGGTGAGGAGAGAAGGAGACCCACTCCTCACTCGGTGACTAAATCATATAGGCCCGATGGAACTAAGAAAGTGAAGGGATCCAAGGCCGGAGACAATGATCTCAAGGATGGATTTGGTGCCATTGTCACGGCTAGGAAAGAGTATGCGGAAGAAAAAAATGTTGAAGCTCAAAGAAATTGAGGGGAGGAGTGAAGCCTAGCGATGGAGGGCGACGACCGAGGAGAAGAGGGCGACGGCCGAGGAGAAGAGGGCGGCGGCCGAAGAGAGGTTGGCGGCGACCGAGGAGAGAAAGGTTGAGGTTGAGGAGAGAAAGGCGACGGCCGAGGAGATGAAGATAGTCAAGGAGAAGGCACTCGAGTTTATGTTCATGGACACATCAACTCTTGATGCCAAGGCAAAGGCGTATGCCGAACTTTGTCGCGATGAAATGCTCATGAAAAAGCAAATGCTCATGAGAAGCATGATGGGAGGAGGAATAGGAGGAGGAATGGAAGGTGCCATGGGAGGAGGAATGGGAGGTGGAATGGGAGGGTACATGAACATGATGGGTGGTGCCATGAATGGTGCATCTGGTGGAAACATGGAAGGTGGCTTTGGTGGCAACATGGATGGTGGCTTCAGAGTAATGGGAGGTGGAATGGGAAGTGGCTTCAGCGGCAACATGACCGGCACGGAAGGTGGCTTCAGCGGCAACATGATGAGTGGCATGGGATGTGGCTTCGGTGCCAACATGAGCGGCATGGAAGATGGCAATGAATGTGCTTATGGTGGAGTTCGCGGCAACAAGACTTCAACACAAGAAAACGTCGAGAAAGAAGCCATTGATGATGATCATACCACCCTCGACAATGGCACTAGTGGCAACAAAGAGGACGCAAATTGAGTAATGTGTGTGCATTTTCATTTGTTGGGCCAACAATTTCGTTTGAGACAATTGACTTTTACTTGTAGTATTTAAAATTATGGTCGATGATGCACTTCAGTGTATAGAATTATGAAAATTTAATGTGCAAATGCGGCTGGCGGCAGCTTAACAGCAGTCACACGCCGGTTTTACATCTCTAGTTTGCATCTTCTATTGGAGTTACTCTTTATATTCGTTTTGCATCTTCTGTTGAAGTCCGCCCTTCTTTGAAGATGCAAAAGCCACTTTTTGAAGATGTAAATTTTTACATCTCCTGTTTTACATCTCCAATTTGCATCTTTTCTATTGGAGATGCTCTAAAAACAGTCAAGCTGTTGAAACCTTAACTATGGGCTATTAACAAAGTTGAATTAAATAGTACTTGCACGTTACCAGTTGATTCATGGGCATTTCATCCACCTCCAAGATAATAGCAGAAATTTAAAAATACAAAAGTACAGTCAGAAACAACGGACAATGGTTGCATTCGGTAAAAGCACACCCAACACATGCAATGACAGAAATCAAGTTCAAACTATCAATTTAAGCACACCATCAAAACAACGTGTCTCGTTGCTCAATTATACAACATTAATAACAACAAAAGGGGAACAGAGCCCATCCATTATCAGCATGGAAGTATAGGTAGATTACTGGGCTAGAAATAACTCTCAGACTCTTAAGGGTAAATTACATGTACTCCAAGCTGGACTAAGAATAGCTTCTAAAGAACCGTGACGACAGTAGCTTAGTTAGCTAGACATCATGATCTGGTCACACGCCTGAAGGGCCTGGTTTGCATAGTATCGTACATCCACATCAGGGTCCTCGCTCAGCTCGACGAGGCATGGCTTCACAGTCTTCTCAGCAACCTGCAAAGTTAGTATTCATGATATTCCCCAATAATCCATAAACCGAACTATACTGCAAAAATGGGATCATGCAGAAGAAACTGAAGAACTCACAGATTGATCAAGGATTGGTACAAGCGACTGCAGAACTTTCGCAACATTGAACTTGATGTTCGGCACTCTGAAAGTTCAGAAGTATGTCAGCAAAGCACTAAAATTATTGAGTTCTGCCAATTATGTTAGTTGCCGCTCACCTGTCCTTCGAGGAATTAATGACGACAGGGAGCAGCTTTTGGCATGTTATTTCTGCACCCATGACAGGGGCTAGCAATGAGATAGCTTGCAGGATGGTCATGCGATACAGATAATGTGGGTTGTTTATCTTCTCCAACACCTAGAAAATAGAACATGTAAGCTTTCAAGACAGATGGTCTAGTCCAGTATGCAGAGTAAAAAAAAGTACAGATTTTCTAGCCTGTATCAAAACATCATTAATGCAAAAGGTACTTTTAATATTTTTCACTAAGCAATGATTGAACCTGTTCAGACTTAAATATGAAACCCCACAACAAGATGCCTGCTTAGCTGCGGGTGTGCTAGCTTTAGTGCATGTTTAAAGTATGCCTAGTGTTTAGATAGTAAATAAAGAACCTGAGGAATTATGTGTTGCATAGCCCACTCTGGACCGAACTCCTCCGCCAGGCGCTTCAAGTTGTTTGCGGCAGCTTCTCTGATCGAGAAAACCTGAAATTCAAACTCTGGTTAACCATTCCTGCATTTATAGGTAGAGTGACAGCCTCTTGTTTATTACTCCCTCCGTTCACTATTATAAGATGTTTTGGATATTTCGGTATGGACTACATACGGACTGAAATGAGTGAACAAACACACTAAAATGTATCTATATACATCCGATTCAGCATAAAGTTAGAATATAATAGTGAACAGAGGGAGTGTATATCAATCTTAACCAGAGAAAAGATGTAAGCCGCATTTTGTTTATGACTACAGAAAATATGCAAGCCAACCGGCAAAGTGCATCGAATTTCACTAAAACTGAACACCGAGTTCAGTCAATTACTGGTAAATGAGGGGAAAATCACATGTGAAAGTTGTTAAATATCACATGTGCTCCTCATGCAATGTACTGCTATACGCTGGAACAAAATGTTTGAGGTCATATGCCAAAATCGCAGCAGTGTACTGCTATACGCTGGAACAAAATGTTTGAGGTCATATGCCAAAATCGCAGCAATGTACTGCTATACGCTGGAACAAAATGTTTGAGGTCATATGCCAAAATTGCAGCAGTGTACTGCTTTGTTTATTTCAAAAAAAAATCAAAGAAACAAAGGGGCTTTGCCACGCCTAAAACCTTAGGAGCACAACAGTTTCTTAGATGTGTGTTTTGTTAGTTGGCACAATTTATTATACATATGGCCCATGTGTCACATATGGCCCATGTGTCAATACAAAATTTTCCCATCTTTTGCCATTCCTGGAATCTAATTTATTGGCCACATTTATAGGAATACACACATTGCCTAACCTTAGCTGTGGGAAAATCAACCTTGAACCAAACATGTGCTTAGATATCAGAATAGTGTATACCTTATCTTCCAACCATTGCATGCAAAGTGCCCCCAGCTTGTCATCAAAAAACCCAACACCTAACTGACTAGCCAGCAGAGGGATGTACTCAATTATTGCAAGCCGAACCCTCCAGTGCCTATCCTCCGCAAGTTCTACAATAGCCGGCAATAGAGATTGCGACAGCAAGTCAATTCCAATGACCTGAAAGATTGCAAAAGCATCAGAAAATGTGAAATGGCCAAGGGAAAAATACAGCAAATATCAGTCAATAGGAGAAACAGACTTGATTAAGGGGATAGCTGCTACTCCTTCTGTTTTCGTATGTACGTCCTCTCAGAACGTTACACTCACCATAATACAGGCAAAATATGGCATTACTCATCTTTATTATACCACATGATACATTTAACGGCGAGTGTTACTTTAGTCCATACTGATTAATGGCAATTGCAATAGCCAAAGGGAGGTGGGGGGAGTGAAAGGGGGAATTGGTGTAAAAATGGCTTTGAATGGTAGTACGACCTTCGCTCAGAAACGTATTTTGGTGCCAGATGACATGTATTTATCGCAAACTTATTATATTGGGAAGTGCAAAGTGTTACGACCCATGGGGTTGCAGATAAAGACCTAGGGCAAGTGGGTTAACACCGAGTCATCTCAGTTGTATAGTAGCCAACTTTTGCACATGTCCCTTGTATTTGGGGTAAACAAAGTGGTAAGATCAATCTCAGTTACACTGGGGTAAAGCAAAGAATATCATGCTGGAAGCGTACCAAAGATTCACAAACAAACCAGCTATTAATTGCAAGAGAAGCAAGAAACAAAAATAGTACTTACACTGGGGTAAAGCAAAGAATATCATGCTGGAAGCGTACCAAAGATTCACAAACAAACCAGCTATTAATTGCAAGAGAAGCAAGAAACAAAAATAGTACTGACCTGATTAACTTGATCAAGCTTGCTGATTATGTTCAGTCGAACATCAGGAAATTCATCCTTCAGCAAAGAAAGAAAAATAGGAAGAAGTTGTTCAATGGTAGCATCCTGCAGAAAGCAAAAGATATACGAAATTATAGTAGTATCACACAAAGATATACGAAATTCATCCTTCAGCAAAGAACGATGATGGATTGTTGATAGTAATTGCATTTAGAGCAGAAACTATTGGCAACAAATTATAGTAGTATCACACAGATATACGAAATAAACAGATTTGATTTGTAGCAACTAGCAATAGAAGAGTAAATAAAGGACAAGTCTTTGGATACTGGATGCAAAATACCGTCACAGAACATGTACATGTAACTGGCAAATGGACCAGTGCATATGGAACACAAACCAAAAACATCTGCATTGTTCTAGCTGACATGCTGAGAAATCCAGGATAACAACAATTCAAAGAAGTGATTATGCGCCATGTCTCGCTAAAATTTCAGTATAAACGGCGAATACTACTTTCATATGGCAGGTCACAAGAGTAAAATGATAATGGAAACAGGTATTTATAAAATATATTCATAGGTCTAGAGCCACCAGATGGATATTCATTAAAATGTAAAAGAGCATTAATTTGTCTGTAAACATGTTTGCAAAACTGAAAGGCAATTCAAGAATTATGGATGCATCATTGCTCGCACCTTCCCCAAGACAGGGGCCATTCCCATGATGACTGAAGCCAAAGCTGAGCGAACATGCTGAGACGAATCTGATGACAATTCCTGCAGATGAAATTGGCAAGAGTTAGTCTATTGACAATAACAGCAGCAGAATACAAATGATTCTCAGTAACTGCCCCGGCCGCACCTTAACACACGGCAGAATGTGCTGAATTGCAAGCTGTGGACTTAATATCCTACAGAACTTCATAACTTTTCCGGCAGCTGCTATCCGCACTTCAGCCTCATTATCACGGAGGAGGCGAACATATGCAGGCACCAGGTCCGCTCTGTTAACAAATATATGAACACATCAAGTCATCAACCAATCAGATTAAATATATGTATTTACATGTAATATAACAACTAGCCCGTGGAAATCAAAATACACTTCACAAATATTAAAAATTCAAGTATGTTACAATTGATGAAGAAGGTCACTAACCTTGTAGGCTCGGGGCCAACTGCCTCGCAGAGCTCATACAACTGGTTTGCAACCATATAACGGACACGCCAAGATTTATCCTAACAGAGGAGTTATGGAACAAGTGTTAGTAGCAGCACAACCATGATGATGAACTTAACAACAGAGTTAAACAAATAAGCAGTTCTGGGTAACATGAAACTGTAGCAATCACAAAGTTATATAACAATACCATACAAAGACTATTAGTTATGTCAGTAATGTACCTGGGAGAAATTAACAATGACTGGAAGGATATGGGCTACACAATCTTGGGGTTCTAACAATTTTCCAAGAGCGGCACAGCCTTCAACTGCCAATAAACGTACTGAATCTTGATCTGCAAATGAAGGCCAATAACAGCGTGTAATCAATGTCTCCAACTCTCGACTCGTTTACCATTGTACAAAATGTTGGACAAGAAAGTTCCAGGAGCTAGTTTTATGGCTCATACATATATTGATATTTTGGTACATTCAAGTATAAAAGAATAGTCCCAGAGTTTTAAGAGTTTATTTTGATATCTTGGAGCATAGGCAGACTGATATCATGTTCAGAATGAAGAAGATAAAATATAGCAGGATACTTTTGGTTTCAGTCCTAAAGGATTCATAACAAATCACAAGGAACCTAACCGTACTACACCACACTGCCATACAGGACTACTTGAGACCCTATATAAATTAACAATAATAAAGCAGAATCGGAAAATTAGGAACATGCGCTACCACCATACAAAAAGATAAACTACTAAATGGTACTTGAAAAAATATGTCAAATTAATTGCAAGAAAGCTAGAGATAAGCTACATGTAACAATCACTGACTACGCTAGTAAGCACAATCACTGACAAATCAATAAAAGATCTCCACGGCAGATTAATGAGGAGACCGCATGATTACAAACACAATCATTCAGAGAACACAATAACTGTTTGATGGCAACATCAGAAACTACAATACATGTGTTCTATTCCACTTTTTGAACAGGTAACTATTTGCCTGAACTAGAGAATTATTTCATTAAACAGTATGTCAAAGATGTAGAAGAAAGTACCATCTTGGGTAAGATCATCAAAGATCGACATGATTTCTGTCTTCAAATGGCTCTGTTCAACAGTGGCAGCAAACTTCCCAAGATTTGATGCAGCTGCCCTTCTGACCATAGGCATGTCATCTTGGCATAACTGGCCATAAATAGTCCTCAGTTCTGTTTTCAACGGATCGGTGGCACTTGGATAGGCTATATGGAAAAGACCACAGGATGATACTCGAGCTGTAAACCACTCACCAGCCGCTAGCCTCTGAAAAGAGTAAAGACTGGTTGAACGAACAGGCATAAAGATATCAACAGAAAATAAAACTGCATTGCTACATTTATCTAAGTACTCTCTCTGTAAAGAAATATATCTAAAAAGTCTTATATTTCTTTACAGAGTACAGCAGTATTTCCAATTAACAGCCATATGTTGGAGCAAGTCACTATACAGAAGAATACAATGCAAACGCAGTTACCTAAAAGGCAAGAAGTAGAAATATCATGCAAACATATATATTACAGAAGGCATATAATGATGAGGTCAAGGAGTGCCACAAATATTTGACAACAATCAATTGAATGTCTCACTGTATAAATGCATTACCTTTACTACTGCAATGAAATAGTCAACAATGTCATTTTCTTTCATCTGTGCACCAATACGGCACAACGACTCAACTGCTTTGTCTCGGACACAAGTTTCCTCCACCGTAGACAATGTCTCCAATGGTGGGAGCAAAACATGAGCATGCTCTACACCCCCAACATAAGGAATGAACACACCCAATTCTTCAGCCATTGCAAGAAGCACCTCATCTTCATCATCATTGTTTTCGCTGAGGAAAGGAATCAGTTCCTTCCTGGTTCTTTCTTCTCCAAGTGCCCGTGCAATAGTGGAAAGTCTTCTGATGGAGTTCAGGCGCAATTGAATATCTTCATTTTTAAGCTCATCTATCAGCACGGCAATTGGATAGAGAGGCTCATCGACCATAGCCATCAGGCTAATCAGTTACTTCTACAACTGCAAATCAAGACAGAAGATTAGGACAGTGTGACCACTAGAACTGAGTACGCGCACACACAGATGTGTCCTGTAGTACAAAATATGTTGCATGATCAAAGGCAAGAGGAAGTGAGAATGGCAGAGTGGTGTTTCAATGAGAGATCAACCAAATCTCCTCCCTTAAAAGGATTTAGATATGTCAACCTATTACAACCATAGTTTCAAGATAGACAAATTTCAAGACATCCATACAACTCCAATACATACGACCATTGGTTTCACAGCAACATATTAATACAAAAGTGAGAATTACGGAAGACGCATAAAATTTCAGGGGCACTTCCATGAAATCAATCACTATTTAATATGACTGCAAAGATTTCATTGATATCAGAGGTCAAAGTTTAGAAAGGCAGCACACTGAAACACATGACTGATTTAACTTGCACGATCAGTTAAATGTGGATTCATTGCCGTGCTGGACATGATCACTGAAGGAAAAGAAATCAAAGTCTCGTACAGCACAACAAATTTAAGAGGTCAAAGAAAGATGCAAGTTATTTGTTGACTTTCAAATAGCATATGCTTTACACAACCCAAACAGCAAAAGCATTGTTTTCCTAATAAATTATTTGTTGACTTTCCCCAAGTGTCAAAGAAAGATGCAAGTTATTGTCTACAAATGGTTTCAGGGGCAAACAATCATAATCTTTGCAGCATTCCCAAGGTTGCAATCATTCTTTTCCCATCAACAGATCTACAAGCAAGGATCAGAACATACAGCTTATGTTGGTTGTGCCAGTGGACCAAAGCAAGTCGTATGAAACTACAGAAATCTCCATAATATCCGGTACAGTTTCTACATTACATGCTTTCAAATTGTCGCCGTTCTAACAAACATACAACATAGTAAGCACAGCATGTTTGTGTGTG